CTGAGGCATTACTTAGCCAACCCTTCCCCCTGAATGTTACATTGTCATTCTGATAAATGGTTACTTTATGGTCTGTCATTGGTCTAGTGATGGAAAGGCACTAACTAAGGCAGTTATTTCCTGCATTGTGCAATACATGAATTAAACATGGCCCTTGCTTGCAGCTATGAAGTGGTTAAAATGTGAGATTACAGCTATAAAATGGTTAATCTGGGCAGGGGAGAGATTCCAGCTATGAATGGGTCAGTGAGTGTGGTGGGTGTATTACCCTGTGGGAATGTGACATCGTGCAGTCTCAGAATGTGCATTTTTGACCTATCTCCAAACCTCTCTATTTGCCCTTAATTCATCCTTGGTTTTAGTACGTGCAGCACATCACATCCTACTGAAGCTGTGAGCTCATATATAAGGTTCACCTTTCAATTCCTGTGCAGTCATTACTATAAGATATGGTCTGCACTTCAATATGTCTCCCACCAGCTCGCTTATGTAACCTTGGGCATCCTCTGTGTGACTCAGACAGTGACCGTAAATTGTGCTGTTTAACCCTTTACTGCATACTGAAGTTTAAATATCCCTCCCTCCCTGCATGTGTATTATTGTTATTTAGAGCTTTAATGGTTAAGTGGAGGGTGGTCACGGTGGGACAGTGGCTTTTAAAAGAACTTCTAAAATCCCAGAGATACGTTGTTTTTAATAATCTCAAAGCATCCTGATGTGCTGTAGTTCTGAATAATTCTTTCAGTATAATACAATGTGGGTGTTCCATTGGTTTCCACGGTGACTCATGTATCGCTGTGCTAATGTAAAGCCTTGTGGAACATGATGGAACTATACAAATATTATCTCCAGATTGCTGTATAACTATAAAAATGAAATCTATTTAAGCTTGTTATGCCAACTCTGCGATGGGTGTTGTAATACTGGGTACCAGAAGTTGCTCCCTTTTCCCCTCCTCCCTCACTTCTTCATTTTAAATTAAATCTAGCTTGCTTCATTATGTGAAAGGAGGGATTTTGAAAGATGTGGCTGATTGCTTCACTTTTCCAAGGAATAGATTGTAGCCCTCTTGCAAAATGAATAGTTTATGATGTCTGAGCCCAATAAAATGCCATGGTGTCTGTTTAGAAGCCTGGTAACACACATGGCTGGCTGCTAAATCAGTTAGTTAATATGTTCTACTCTAGTATGATTTCCTCAGTGACTTAAATACTTTATTTACAGGCTGTAGGTCAGTAATCCTTATAGTCTGCAAATGATAAGCAATCGGTCTGTCAAAACAATCAAATATAAGGATTTACCAAAACCACCCCCACCCACCATGCTGCCGTCCGCTACCATACTTTTTCATTTCAGATTTAATGCAATATTTGCAGGTTGATACCGCCTCACTTGTTCCCCGAGCACTTTGCAACTTATGTTTTTTGTTTGGCTTTCCTTCAACTGCCTATGGGGACATTTTTTGTAATTCTACCCTCCACTTGCCCAATGTATTGCTTGTTGCGATGGTTTGACCACCACAACTTCTGCAACAAACTTCGAGGCAAAGCAGAAGTCATGCTGTGGAAATATGCGTCTAGCAACATGCTGGAGTTGAAATGGGGTGGGATATTAAGATCCAGCTCCTTTTTAGAGGTATTTTTTATTTTTTAATGTATTTAATTTTTTCACTATCCTGTCACATTTATAAAGTGTGTGTGTGTGTGTGTGTGTGTGTATGTATATGTATATGTGTATATATGTATATGTGTGTGTGTGTGTATATATATGTGTGTGTGTGTGTGTGTGTGTGTGTGTGTGTGTGTATATATATATATATATATATATATATATATATATATATATATACATACACACACACGCGCGCTTTGTACTGGAAATTGTTCATAGTCTGCACGCTTGAACCTAGCTATGTTTGTTTTGCAAGGCCAACCAATTACATTTTTAAAAGGGTTTATTTGAACTGTAAATCAACATGTCGTACATCTTTCAATGCTTGATTTGCCAAGGACAGGTGTCTTAGCATATCAATAATACATTATCAAGGAATGCTCTGCTATTTAAACAATCGGTTTACTTAAAATCTTGTTGCGTTTTGTCCTAATCTGAGCTGGAATTCTTGTAAAGACAGGGTTGATCCTCACTGGGGATAAATCACAAATGCCAAGCAAAGCACCCAGCTCCAGAGCAATACAGACTTTTAAATCAGGCCGTTGCTTTCTAAGTGGACCTTGGTCATTGGCAGTGGTAACTGAATAACTGCCGAGTCTGCATTAAATGCAGTTTAACATTTCTACAACACTTGTCTGTCTTGCAGTAGGCATGTAATATGCCATTTCAGCTTGAGGATCATTGTGTTGCCCTGGTTAACAGATGCGACTGGTAGCACATTTGTACTGGTTTGACAGTTGGGACTAGTAATCCACTGGGCAAACTGCGTGGTAGCTCCTTTGGCTGGCTGGGAAGCAGTGAGGTTTGCTGCAGATCACTGACCTGGTGTGGTGCACACTGTACACATTCCTATATTGCTCACTGCAGAAAGCTGTGTTATGTATTAACCTTTTAAACAAATATTTTGTAACTTGTTACTGTAATGGTGGGGGGTGGGGGGGAGGGGGCTGTCTATTTGCCATTTACTTTATGTTGTATTACTGTGCTAATAAGGGCATGACATGCCCATAGTATGCCCAGGCTTAATAATTCCCCATGGCACTTGCACACTGTTGCATACCCAGGATTAATAATGCATATAGATTCCTCTTCCCCCCCCCCCCCAAATTTGTCTTAACAATGTCTAATGTATTCCCTCTAGATTTGCATATCTCCTAGCACTGTGCGCCCTCTGGTCTAGTTAAATGTCAGTTTTTAATGTTCTGTTGCTTTACGGTTTTCTCTCTGCAGTAAAACCCTTCAAACTGGCGATGGTGACATCTTGGTGGATTTCTCCAAAAACCTCATCACTGAGGATGTCCTGAAGTTGCTGGTGGAGTTGGTAAGTTTGCATGTGTGTCCCCTGTGTCCAGGATCTGCCCCATTTATAATTATATAGGGATAAGAGTCCCATGATCTTGGTCTGCTTCCAATTTGACATTGCATTGCTCTTGGCACACACACAGTTATATGGGATATGCTATAATTTAAAGAAATGTGCTTCTCTTAACGGAAACTTTCTACATCAAAATTCTAGTATTGAATGGAAGGACAGTGCCAGGAGACTCCACACGCTTTATTTGCTTCCTTGAGATGAAGCAGTTGTGATGCCTACAGTGTAACTTTCAGAAAATAAGTGTGATCCAGGCACTCCCGGTGTATCTTCAAGCAGTTATATTGTAACAAAAATGCGCCGTGCATTTCTTATTCTAATAAAACTGCGTGATACGCCTAGGCCATATGATTTATTTTCTACTTGCTGTACTGGGATTTGCCAGCCCAAGATTTGGAGTACCTAGGTCTTTATATAAGCGTGTGGATTACCAAATACAGTGTCATTTGAATATTGTTAACCATGATTGAATGCTATTTATTTTTAGAGTCCCTCATTGCTCTCCCCTGTTTTGAATACACTACAGAAATCTTGGCGATCAGTAGGAGGTCGGATACATTCTGTAAAATATAATATTTTCGAATGGGGGAATGCTATAGAAGCATTGAGAGATGTGTTAAATCTGCCATTGGTAGTAATAGTGTTGTGTGATGTTGGTACAGAGTTCATTTTAGTGTCTGCTGTATTAAAAGGTTTATTTTTTTTTATCTTTACAGGCTCGCTCAAGAGGTGTTGAAAATGCCAGAAAGTCCATGTTCTCGGCTGAGAAGATTAACTTCACTGAGGTATTCCTGGCACGCGATGCCATCTATTAACTTGCAGTCTGGACTCTTATACCAATCACTCAGGAGCATTCCAGTGGTTTCCATGGCAACTGCACCATTTCTAGATCGTTTCCTAGTAAATAATGCTCATTTGGTAGTCTGTATTAGGTGGCTAGTAAGGGTAGCAGTGATGGTTTAGCAGCTTACATAGTGTTAAAGGGACACTATATAGGCACCAAAACAATTTTTAACTTAATAAAGCAGTTTTAGTTTATCGATCATGCCCAAGTTCTCTGCCATTAAGATAAATCAGTTTGTTTATACAGTCAGTCACACATCCCTGCATGTGACTTGCACAGCATTCCTAAACACTTGCTCTAGAAAGACATCTAATATTTAATGTTTCTTTCACAGTCTGTTTAATTGAGAATTAATCTCCTTCTCTGTTAATGACATTCTAGACCCTGCATATGCCTTCTGTGTTTGATTAAAGTTCAATATACAGAACAGGAATATAAAAACATCTAAAGCAAGTTAACCTCTGGTTTGAAAATTAGCCTGCATGAAAAACGCATTCTTTGTGTCGGTCACAGCCAGGGAAGGTGTGGCCAGGACTGCATGGACAGAAACAAAATAGATATTACTCCTAAATGGCAGAGTATTAAGTATTTAGATCAGTGGTTTTTTTGGGGGGGACACTTTAGACACAATTGGACTGTTAGGGAGGGTACTTGAGGACTGGTTTGGGGACACCTGCTCTAGATTATCTATACCCCAAAACTGCTTCATTAAGCTAAAATAGTTTTTAGAGCCCATAGTATCCCTTTAAAGAAACAATATCACTTGTTTGAGATTTGGTAGAGACAAAATGGGAATACAGAAAGTCCTGGAACTCTGCTTTTTTATTTTACAATTCTTTCATATGCACAACTTGTGACCATCTACCTTTTACTGCCCTTATGTGATGGTTTAACCCACCCACACAACGTATTGTTGCACATGTTGAGCCGCTGTGGATAAATAATGCAAATGGAATGTGTGTTATCCAGGTTGATGGAGAAGGGCTAGTTTATGGGGGCCAAAACTGCCCAGTTTTTTGTCAACCCTCTAAAAGAGCAGATTCAATGGCTCAGACAGTTATCCCTTTGTGAGATATTTTTGCTAAGTGTCCCTTTACGTGCTCTGCTTAGTTTGTCTTGAAATTGAGCCTATATTTACACACCCCTTATGTACTTGGAGGGATTGAACTCTGCTCTGCTTCTTTATGAGTAAATGATATTGTGCTGTATGATCTACAATACTGTAATGAAGGAGTGTGTGTGGTTTCTCTCTATGCTCTGCAATTCATTGTGACTTTTTGGACTGGAGTGTCATGCACGCTCCATGCTCTGGGCTGCCTCCATTCATGCACAGTCATGCTCGTTGTGTTTTTTAGAATATTACTTTGAGCAATGACTTTGCAGAAGGCTTTATACAATGGGCTGGGTGAGGCTAGGAATCTGAAAGGCTTTGGCAAGCTAGGTAAAGCTTCAAACATTTGAAAGGGCATCTAAGGTGGCATTCTCTTTATTTTCTTAAGGTAGGCTGCGCTGCCTTAACTGGGGCGTGATCCTATTTGAACTGTACAGAGTGGCATGCCAAACCACAAACTATTCAAAGAAAAAAATAAACGGTCTTGTGTGTTTTCTGGGGGTGGCAAACGTTTTTCAGCCAATCTGTCCTTATTCAGCCACAGCAGACTTTTTTTTATTTTTTTATTAGGATTTGCTGATGGCATGTTCTCTATATTCCTCACTATATCTAATCGTTGTTCATTGTGACTATTAACAAGAATATCAAATGTTCCAATATTTCCTTTATTTTTATACAGGACCTGCTGTTCTGTTTTTATTTCAGAAATTCACGTGTGGGTTTTGTTTTTTTTTGGGTGGTTTTATTTTTTCTTGTGTATTAAAGGGACACTATATAGTCACCAGAACAACTATGGCTTATTGAATTTTGTTCTGGTGAGTAGACTCATTACCTTCAGGCTTTTTGCTGTAAACACTCTTTTCAGAGAAAATGCAGTGTTTACATTACAGCCTAGGGATAACTTCACTGGCCACTCCTCAGATGGCTGTTAGAGATCCTCCTGGGTCATGGCTTCCTAAAATGCATCCAAACATTTAGTGTCTCCTCCCTCTGCATGCAGACTCTGAACTTTCCTCATAGAGATTCATTGATTCAATTAATCTCTATGAGGAGATGCTGATTGGCCAGGGCTGTGTTTGAATCATGCTGGCTCTGCCCCTGATCTGCCTCCTTGTCAGTCTCAGCCAATCCTATGGGGAAGCATTGTGATTGGATCAGGCTACCACTTCTGATGGTGTCAGCAGACTGCCTGTTTTCTGAGGCAAACAGCATGCAGATCTACAGCTTCACGCTTGCATAAAGTAAGATTTTGCTATATTTATGGAGGCATGAGGGGCCCATGGGGCTAGATAGTGGTGTTAACACTATAGTGTCAGGAATACATGTTTGTGTTCCTGACCCTATAGTGATCCTTTAATCTTTTACATACAGAGTCTTGACTTTATTTCTAAATCCAGTTTTGCTTATATATCGCCTGATGAAAATGGGCATAGTATCTCACATCTCTTAATAAAGGGTTATGTCTTTTGACTTCTGAAATGTTAGGATCTGACCTGATGGGATCTATTTTTTAAAAAAAATTTTTTTTTTTATTTACAGTTCATTTCTTTTTTTAAAAGTATTTATTTTTAAAAAGTAACAATTTGCCATATTGTATCCAAAATGTCATCTTCCTCACCTAGAACCGTGCAGTTCTGCATATTGCTCTGCGCAATCGTTCAAACACCCCTATCCAGGTCGATGGCAAGGATGTGACCCCAGAAGTCAATGCTGTGTTGGAGAAGATGAAGGCTTTCTCCCAGGTATCAATTTTAAAATCGTTTACAGGAAGGCTAGACATGGATCATACCTGTGTGTTTAATCTGCTTTAAACAGAACATCAGAAGTGTATTAAGGGAATTATCTTCATAGTGTGATGTCTTAAAATAATA